ACGCTCTAACCAACTGAGCTAATGGGCCGCACATCAAACTACCTCATAATAATATTTTTCCCCAGTTCATGATCTTTGATTGAAAAATTATAAATGTATAAGAATACGATATATAAAATATAAATATTTCGCGGGTTATATTTGATTTGTCATTCCTATCTATTTATGTTCAATAAATTATCTAAAAAAAAAAAAACAATTACAAAATGAATAGAATAATTGTTCTTTGTATTTTTCTTATTTTTTCTAAACCTGTAAAATTTGAATTATGAATGTATAAAGACATAATGATAGATATATAAAAGGATTAAATGTATGGCAAATATGTGAACGTCGAAAGTATGATATATATTTAGTATATAATAAATAGCCGTTATTGTTGCAAATATTTTATCTTTTACATTTTGTTATATATAGCAATAACTCTTTGTATAATAAATATTGTTGTATATATACATAAATATATATCCGTATTGTGATTTTTTTATTTCTATTCTCACCTGATATTCCCAAGAAATGATATTATCAGTGAATCGATAAAATATAATTTAGCTTAAATAACTGCAGTCATGAATCAATTTTGTTCTGTTAAAAGATTAAAAGATTATTGATCTGTCAAGAATAACTGAGGAATGTTAACATAGCTAATCGTCCATGACTTGAATTATGACATCATGGTGATGTACGTAAGTTTGCTCTTGCACGAGCATATGAAAAGCGAATTAAATATATATATGTTAGGCTAATAATAGAATATTAATAAAAACAGCAAAAAAATAATAAAGAACTATATTAAGTTATAGTCCCCAATCAAATTAAATTGTGCATGTGTGTGTGAGCACACGCATATTATTATGTTAATTAAATAAAACTTGCGATACACAAACACAATTCAATTATAATTAAACGTACTCTCAAAATTATTACAATATATTATTTTAAAAGAAAAAGTATAAAAATGTGCATATAAAAAACTTATATTACTATTATATATTTTTATAGCTATATATATATATATATTTTTATCTTTTTAACTTGTCCAAAATTTGAGAAAAAAGATAAAAACCTGATAAAAGGACAAAGTTTTGGACAAGTTAAAAAAAATAAAATTTGGTAGACATCTGGCAAGGATCCTTTTCTTCGAGTCCTTGTATTGTTATGGCTTACCAAATTCCATTGTCTCAAGATTTTAGGGGCCTGTTGTGCTTCCTTCTTCCTGTGGTGTCCATCGGAATATCTTCTGCGGCTATTTGTCCTCAGGCATTCTTTTTTTTTGAAGAATATTCAAACGACTAAAGCTCTTTTTTCACTATTCTCTCAATTATTGTCTCTCTCTTTTTCTCTTTCCTTTTATTTAAATATATTAATATAATAAATATAACACTACAGTATCTCTCTTAGTCTGACTTTTCCCCTTCGACCTGTCCGGCATAGATGATCCTACCGGTAACTACTAGCGTTTTCGAGTGAAATAGATATGATCGCACTGAGAGCTATTAAATCAGATTTACCATATATGAACATATGTTCGATCAAAAATGGGTTTTGTATGTGAATTTGATTAATATAAATATAATATATCAATAATATTAATAATATAAAGTACATCCCGTTTGACACTATTTTGGCTTTAAAAGACAAGATTCTTTGCCCTGATTAATCAATCAAACGGTTATTCGAAATATTTTATTGATTAATCTAATAACCCAAATACCCCTAAAATTCAAGATAGAATTTGAGTTTTATTCATTAATCGGTTTCAGAGCGATCAAACTTGATCACTCGAAAATGCTATACGTTACCGCCGGCATAGCTCTCAAGTTCATTAGAGTACGCAAACCTCCTCACCCGGCAAATGCCTTCGTTAAGGTGGAGATACATCGAGGAGGAAAAATGTGTGAGGATAGGCTTTTTCCTCTTTTTCAATTCTCAGGGGATAGGTATTATTTTATTTTTAATACAAAATTTAACACAAAATAATTTATTACATGGGATTACACGAAAATGTCCAAAATATGCGTATAATAAAAAATGTACTAGAAAACGTTAACCTATACAAGACTTTTTAGCGACAATTAATTACGCGATATTTATTATTAATAATCGACATACAATTATAAAGCTTAATAAGTTTTATATAATGTAAAAAATCGCGATCAAAAGAGTCATTAATAAAATTATTAATCGTCTTTAATTGTAGAAGAAAGTATTTGTGCACTATTGGTGCATTTTGCACAGACTTCCAAAGAAAAAATTCAAGACGCAAAAAAATAAACAAAGCTTCGATGTACATCAACGGTTAAATCATAAAACAAATCGCGATTTAAAATTTGCGAACAAACGCGACCAATAAATAAACCGACGATATTTGTAATATTCGATTGCGATACGCGTAATTTCTATAATAATCGAAACCCACACACACGTACGCGTGCCCGATATAATCACAATCATTTTATGCAAAAATATTTCGACAAAACATTCGAGATTTGTTATATAGTATTCACCGCCCGATTTATTTTCCAATACGCCATTTTATACGAATGTCACGATCAACAATAAAATATATATTCTATCTCGCGGATGACTATTTTAACAAAATAAAATGGATCTTATAAGCCTTTAAATATTGTTATAAAAAATCGCATTATTGCCACGTCTTATAGAGAATAACAGACCCAACGATTTTAACAAGGCCCTCCCTCCGCCGAGTGATACGCTGGTTAATATTTGACAAAGAGAAGAACGATCCTAAAAGTGGAGAACGACCAACGTCTTGTTTCCACATCAGTTTCTGCAAGATCGATCCGCAAAGAAAAGTTAAGTGATCCGTTGAACGTTAGAGCCGCTGCAGGAGGGAACGAATCCCG